CCCAAAACCCCAAAACCCCAAAACCCCAAAACCCCAAAACCCCAGCATTTATACCAATTTTGGAAATTAATAAATATTAAAGATTTCAAATGATTTCCAATATCTTACGAAGAAGTAGAGGTGCCAAGCTGGTCCAATCCCAGAGCAGGGCTTTTACAACAGCCAAACTTAGAGAGTACTGGAATGACTTTTCTGACGATTATGTCAAAGGAACAGAATATTATACCTTGCCTGTCGGTCTGGATTTGTATGCTCTCACAAGTGCTCATCTTTCAGGGTCTGTGGTTGAGACAGGTGCCGGATCAGGAACAGCTTCTTCTATTTTTGCTACTTACATGCAGAAAGAGAAATCACACTTTGTAACCTGCGATCTATCAGACACTATGGTTGAGAAAATGGAGAAAAGATACTCATCCCTAGCTTCTAATTATGATTCGATAAACTACTCAAAACTCACTAGAGGAGAAGCACAAGATATGAATTTCACTGATTGTGATACAAACTCTAAGAATATTTATTCATTAAGAAGCTCTAATGAAGATTTACCCTTCAAAGATAACCAATTTGATGCATATGTATCTACTTTTTGCCTCAACATAGTGAACGATCCAATCAAAATGCTGACGGAAGCACACAGAATCCTAAAACCACATGGAAAAGTTGGAGTGTCACTTTGGGGAAGAAGGTCAGAATCCCCCTACTTCGCTCTCCTTCCCAAGATTCTTAAGAGAAATGGGGCTGAATTCCCAGAACAAAAGTCGTACTTTCATATGGAAGGGAAGGTATGCGAGTTTATGAACACTGCTGGGTTCAAAGATATCAAAAATGTCCAAAGACTGATTTATATCAACCAAGACTCTGCCAAAGTTTTAAGGTCTCTTATCAGTTCTCCGTTCTACAGAAAAGTTGCTAAGATCAACCCTGAAGAAGTCATAAATGCTTCAATTGAAGAGTTTTTATCAACTTTTGATGAGATGTTCACTAAAAAGAACAAGATGATTCACTTTGAAGCTGATATCTGAGTTGCTACTAAGTAATCCCATAGCCAAGTTATTCAACCAAGCAGTGATGGAAGGGGTTTTGGGGTTTTGGGGTTTTGGGGTTTTGGGG